AAATAAGGTTTTTCCTCTTCATCGTAAAAAAATATCTCCAGAACACAGCTTCATCTAATGGCATTTTTCCATGAATCATTAGGATAATGCCTACTAATACTGACAAAATAGTGAAAAAAAACTTGCACATTTTCTTTTGTTTTTATTTGTTTTTTGTTTTTGTTTTTTAAGACGGAGTCTTACTCTGTCACCCAGGCTGGAGGGCAGTGGCATGGTCTCGACTTGCTGCAACTTCTGCCTCCCAACTTCAAGCAATTCTCTTGCTTCAGCCTCCGGAGTAGCTGGGATTACAGGCACCCAGCACTATGCCCTGCTAATTTTTGTATTTTTAGTAGAGACAGGGTTTCACCATGTTGGCCAGGCTGGTCTTGAACTCCTGACCTCAGATGATCCACCCATCTCGGCCTCCCAAAGTGCTGGGATTACAGGCATGAGACACTGTGCCTGGACAAGACTCGTAAATTTTCTTATTTGGGTTGAGATTTGAGCTTCAGTTCACTTAACAACAGTTCTCAAAGAACTGCAAACGTTTAAGAGGACAACATGTCAGAAAGGGGAAACATTATGGGATTTCAAGTCCAGCTCTATGATTTACCAGCTGGATAAAGCTTTCGTGAGTTATTCAACCTTTGTGAACTTGTTTTCTCATCTATTTAAAGAAAAAAAAAAAGGAGAGTATGTAACACAGAAGAGGTGCTCTACAAACCTGAGGCTTCCTTTAAAGACTGCATAACTTCCAAAAGTCAAGGGAATTGTTTGGCTTTTAAAAATGTGAGCCTGAGATAAGAGAATGTTCACTGAGCAGCATAATACTAAGTTTTGTTTTGTAATTTTAGAGTTGCTGATTCTATCTGCTACTCATTGCCTGAAATTATATTTCTTTTCTACTGAAAGTAGGGGACTTTCTAGTTACAGTAAAAATTTGCTAAAGCTATGAAAGCTAAATGTACATTTGGCTCCCAAATAATTTATACCAAACACTTTATAAACAAGTCACCCTTTGATGTCAGCATGTATCAAATAATGAGTATTCTGATATTTTTGTTAATTCCTAATCTTATTTTATTTCATAGCTTACAAAGTTAAGACTCTTAGAAATTGACAAGAATTAACTGCTCACCAAGTACTGCATAGCAATAGAGCGCCGAAGAGGCCCAGGAGGTCCTATTAGAAAGATATCTTGCCCCAAAAGATCCTTCTGCATTATCCATCTTAGATGCTGAACTACAGATTGAGCCAGAGAGTCTGAAACTATAAAGAAAAAAGAGAAAATTAATGCAAATTTAAGTATTACTTATAAATAGCCAAGTAATAGAGATATATTTATATATATTATGTATATAAAATATATGTTTATATGTATTTATAAACATATGTATTATAAACTTAATCTTGTTTTAGCATTGACAATAATGGTTTTATTGTAAAACTATGTGAAAATTCACCAGGTGTCTATATGTTTGTCTGCCCAGATAAACATATATATATATATATATATATATATATATATATATGCCGTAAAGAATTACATATTCCATACTTGAAAGCTTACCATAACATTTGAATAATCACCTATAACTGTTCCTAAAGAAATAAAAGTAATTTTCAAGGATGATTTGAGAAGCTGGTTTGATTACTTTCATCAAAATTTTATATTCCAATCTTTTTGTTCCTAAAGAGAGATATGACCAAATCATCTCAGACAGTTAATGATTATCATAGTCTTAAAAAGTCTGAGAAAAGCATACTACAACTTAAGTTGGTAATGGGCTGTAAGATCTCCCAAACATCATGGTTAGAAAATTTGATGTAGACTTTACTTCTTTAGAATTAACTATTTAAGTCTATTCTTCTATACCAAACTCTTTTGTGAATAGAAGACTACCCATGCAATGCCCTTCCAAGTTTACTATTAAATCACCCCACCAATATGCTCAACTTCTAACTAAGCATTTTAAAAATGTTTAAATTAATATAATTAGTTTGTTTTGGCTCATATGTATATCACCCAATGACCCAGTGAGTCCATTCCTGGGTATAAAAGAAAAACTCATAACCTTGTACATCAGAAGACATGTATGATACTCAGAGAATTGTTTAAACTAAAACTGGAGACAAGACAATGAATAAATACACCCAATGAAATATTATACAGCAAAAAAAAACAGAATGAAAGACCCCCACTTCCAATGATATGCTTAACCCTTAAAGGTATAATATTGAGTGAAAAAATTAAGAATAAATAATGTATAATGTAATAGCATTTTGATAAATCTCAGTAAACTAGCAAATGAATTCTTTAGAAATACATACATATGTGATAAAACAGTACTTGAAAAAGCAAAAAAAAGCAAAGGAATGGTAAGTTGATGATAACTGGATACTTGGGGGTAAGAAGTGGCCATGGAATCAAAGAGATTCTCATGTATAGCTTCAAGGATAATGGTAATATTCTACTTCTTACATTAGATGTGGGTTACAGTGTTTGTTTTATTATGTTGCATTTTATACAGACAGACACAGATATCTATATTACGTAACATCTTTTATATGTAGTAAATATTCCATACATACTAAACTTTGTTTAATCACCCACTGAAGTCATGGATTAGTTCAAAGATCCAACTAAGAAAGCTTGCCTAGGACTAAATCTCTAGTGCTTCTCCTCTGACAGCACAATATTGTTAGGGTAGTCTCTCCTGTACTCCCCTGCCCCAAAGAAAACAAACATCTAATCACGGGAAAAGATAATTTTTAGATTTTCATTATCCTGGTAGGAAGATCAAGAACAAGGTTTTGGGCAAATTGTTTGGTTTATCATGTCACTGGACTCACACTAAAAGCACATTATAACCTCCCCAAAACAAATGCCCATATGTCTGAAAATCAAGAGACTCATTATTCAAGTAAACTGTTTGGTTTTTCTCTTGTTTTTATGAATCCTCTAATACTTGCATGGGGGCACATCACCCCGAGCAGGTTAAAAGTTGGTTCCTGAAAGGGGGACTTGAAAAAAATGTTTAGATATTACAATAGTTTGTGGTCCTCTAAAAGGACACAGTACATAAACAAATATATAACATATCTATGGTATTCAAATTTCACGGAGTTAGGAAGGAATAATTACAGGGAGAAGATATCCACAGGCAAGTAATAAAGAAAAATAGATTGAAAAATACTGCTCTAAGACCTACACTTTTAAGCAATCTATTAGGTAGTTTCACGATGCTAGCATGCAACTGGCCTGAGTCTAGACAGTTAATCTTATTTATAATTATCACATGTCCTTTTACCTATTTTCTTTTCTACTTTAGGCTTAAATCCATTTTTGTAATATGCAGTCTATTCTTTCTTGCTTCAAGACAATTGTGCCTCCTTGCTGCTTAAGGATGAAACAAAATAAGAGTTAAGACATCTTAACTTCTTTTATTTTTTTAAGGTGTGCACTTTATTAAACTGGTCTCAAGTCGGTGTACAGGTAAGCCCTGGCTGCCTCCACCCATTACCAGGGAGACCAAAAGCCTTCATACATTTCAAGTTGAGGGACAAAAAAGGGGTAGCCAGAGAGGTTAAAATCTTTCAAAATAAAACAAAATTTAAAAAGTATTAAGGTGAAATTTTTAAAAATTGTCATTACATAATTTACAACAAAAGCAATGCTATTACCTTGCTAGTCCATCCACACAGGGATCCTAGTCCATCCCCTGTGTGGATGGACTCAGGAGAGGACTGGGCCATTCTCCTTAGGGAGAAGTGGGGTGGCTTTTGGGAGGGCAAGGAACCTCCTGTATCATCTCACGATATTTGGAATGACTTTTAAAAAAAGAACAATAAACAATCAAGTCCTCGGCCATATTGTAGAACTTTGGGGGATGTTCGCTCCAGCCGACTGCTATCCCCTTCACTATTTCAGTTTTTAAATCCTGAGTCAAGCCAAAAACAAAAAACCAAAACCAAACAAACAAAGCCATGCCAATCTCATCTTGCTTTCTGCACAAGTTAGGTTTTGTCAAGAAAGGGTCTCAAAGGACTTATACCCAAAATCTACAAAGAACTAAAACAGATTTACAAGAAAAAAACCAACACATTCAAAAGTGGGCAAAGGATATGAACAGCACTTTTCAAAAGAAGACGTATATGAGGCCAACAAACGTATGAAAAAATGCTCTTCATCACTGGTCATTAGAGAAATGCAAATCAAAACTACATTGATATACCATCTCATGCCAGGTAGAATGGCGATCATTAAAAAATCTGGAGACAACAGATGCTGGAGAGGATGTGGAGAAATAGGAACACTTTTACACTGTTGGTGGGAGTGTAAATTAGTTCAACCATTGTGGAAGACAGTGTGGCAATTCCTCAAGGACCTAGAAATAGAAATTCCATTTGACCCAGAAATCCCATTACTGGGTATATATCCAAAGGATTATAATTCATTCTATTATAAAGACACATGCACACCTATGTTCATTGCGGCACTTTTTACAATAGCAAAGACCTGGAACCAACCCAAATGCCCATCGATGATAGACTGGACAGGGAAAATGTGGCACATATACACCATGGAGTACTATGCAGCCATAAAAAACAATGTGTTTGTGTCCTTTGTAGGGACATGGATGAACCTGGAAACCATCATTCTCAGCAAACTGATACAAGAACAGAAAATCAAACAATGCATGTTCTCACTCATAGGCCAGTGTTAAACAAGAGAACACATGGACACAGGGAGGGGAACATCACACACTGGGGTTTGTTGGGGGGACTAAGGGAGGGATAATGTTGGGTAGGGAGTTGGGGAGGGATAACATGGGGAGAAATGCCAGATATAGGTGACGGGGATGGAGGCAGCAAACCACATTGCCATGTATGTACCTATGCAACAATCCTGCATGTTCTTTACATGTACCCCAGAACCTAAAATGTAATAAAATATATACATACACACACACACACACACACACACACACACACACACACATATATGAAAGAAAGAAAGGGTGTAACACAACTAAAGTCACAGTCCACCTAAAAGCATTTGTGGTGGACTATGGAGGTGCTGGACTCATCATACTCCTGCTTGTTGATCCATATCTGCTGGAAGGTGGACAGCAAGGCCAGGATGGAGCCACTGATCCACACGGGGTACTTGCACTCAGGAGGAGCAATGATCTTGATCTTCATCATGCTGGGTGCCAGGGCAGTGATCTCCTTCTGCATCCTGTCCGCGATGCCAGGGTACATGGTGGTACCGCCAGACAGCACTGTGTTGGTGTACAGGTCTTTGTGGATGTCCACATCACATTTCATGATGGAGTTGAAGGTAGTTTCATGGATGCCACAAGATTCCATGCCCAGGAAAGAAGGCTGAAAGAGCACCTCAGGGCAGCGGAACCACTCGTTGCTGATGGTGATAATCTGGCCATCAGGTAGCTCAAAGCTCTTCTCCAGAAAGGAGCTGGAGGCATCTGTGGCCATCTCCTGCTCGAAGTCCAGGGCGACATAGCACAGCTTCTCCTTGATGTCACACACGATTTCCTGCTCAGCCATGGTGGTGAAACTGTAGCCGCGCTCAGTGAGGATCTTCATGAGGTAGTCAGTCAGGTCCTGGCCAGCCAGGTCCAGATGCAGGATGGCAAGGGGGAGGACATACCCCTCGTAGATGGGCACAGTGTGGGTGACCCCATCACTGGAGTCCATCACGATGCCAATGGTACAGCCAGAGGTGTACAAGGAAAGCAAGGCCTGGATGGCCACATACTTGGCTGGGGTGTTGAAGGTCTCAAACATGATCTGGGTCATCTTCTTACGGTTGGCCTTGGGGTTCAGGGGGGCCTCGGTAAGCAGCACGGGGTGCTCCTCAGGAGCCACATGTAGCTAGTTGTAGAAAGTGTGGTGCCAGATCTTCTCCATGTCGTCCCAGTTGGTGACAATGCCATGCACGATGGGGTACTTCAGGGTCAGGATGTCTCTCTTGCTCTGGGCCTCGTAATCCATATAGGAGTCCTTCTGACCCAGGCCCATCATCACGCCCTGGTGCCTGGGGTGCCCCACGTTGGAGAGGAAGACTGCCTGGGGAGCATCATCACCCGTGAAGCCAGCATTGCACATGCCGGAGCCGTTGTCCACAACAAGTGCAGCGATACCATCATCCATGGCGAGCTGGCGGTGGGTGTGGACGGGCAGCGGAGCAACAAGGGCGAGGCTCTGTACTTGCCAGGAGGACCCAATCTCAGTGGTCACCTTAACTTCTTTATTAGTAAAGCTACACAATGTTCCCTATGCTGCAAATCTATTACCTCTTCCTACTCTGATATCAAACATATAATTACAAACTTAAACACTTTGGGTTTTTTTCTTTACCTTTTCATAAGTCTCCGCTTAATTTGGCCACAGGCATTCGCTATAGTACTCTCACAGTTTTGTGTCACTTTGTATTCAACTTTGGCAATGTGCCTGACCTTCCATTACCTGGACCTGATAATTTAAAATCCAAAATTTGTGAAGTTCTATAAGGTAAAGCCAAGTTGGTTTCTTCAGCTTCCTCCCACCTTTTATTATTTATAACAATTGGTAACTATTTATAATTATGGAGTCTCAATTTAGTTCTATACTTCCAGTTCGTTTTGAATGTTTTGACCTTGGAATCATATTCATTTTCAAGATTTTTTTTAAATCTAAGGAAGTAGCTCCTAATCAAATGTGAGACCTGCCCCTCATAAATTGTACAATAAAGTGCTGATGTTTAGGAATAACTTATTGTTTCATTTTTTTAAGCAAACTTGGGCAGAATTGAAGTTATAGACATAACAATAGAGCCACTTGTATACCAGTGTATTTTCTTAAGTAGGAGAGCAAACCGTGGAGTTATTTAAAGCTAGAGCCCTGGGAATTATGCATAATCCTGTTTATGCTCATGGGAGTGTCCTCCACTTCCACATAAAGTACATGTACTGAGAACACTGCCTTAAGGCACATCTGACTATTCTCAGAAATCCCTTCCTTTATTTTTACCACTTAACAGCGGTTCCCAAATGATGACCATACTGCTACCATTCTAGGCCTGCCAGAAGGCATTTGGAAAATGTCTGTGAGTACTTTGGGCTGTTGCAAAGATTTGGAGGATAACAAATAATTTGGTACACTATTGATATTTAGTGATGGTAAATACAATGTCCAAGAGAGTCTCATCCTGTCCAGTATGTCAATGGCACTATAGTTGAGAAATACTATGTAGACATTATTTACACTCAAGCCCTCTGTTGCCTGTACACCACTAATGAGTTAGTCACAATTAAGCCCAGGGAATTTCTCTCTATTTACTTTACCATCTGAAAGATAAAACTCTAAGGGAGGAAATCAATAGAGAACAAGGTCTAGCTTTAGATTAAGCCTGCAGGAGTTGTCAGGATATCTAAGGCTCTCATCATCACATTCCAGTTTTATATAAGTTTCTTAATACATATAAGCTACTGCTGAATCCCATGGCTGGCCTTGTAGTCTATGGTATACCTTCACAAAGAGACGATCTTTTCCCTGCTTTTATTCTCCCCCAATAACAATACTAATAATGGTTATAATTTATTGCATTCCTACCAGGTACCAGGTAAACATACAAATGATTTTTCATATAGGATCTCAACAATTCTAGAAAGCAGCAGACCCTATTGTGTCAGTACATAGATTCAGGACAGACTATTTACTAGCTATGTAACCTTAATCAAGTTGTTTAACCTCTGTTCAGTTTCCTCATCTGTATAGATATAATTGTACTTACTTATAAAGTTGTTATGAGGATTATATTAAACACTTAGAACAGTATCTAATAATAGTAAATGCTGTGTTTGTTAAATATTCATTATTCCCATTTAGCAATAAGAAAATCAAAACTGGAAATGTAGTGTCATTTGTCTATAGTTAGTAAGTCCATAAACCAAGATTTACACTTAAGTTGTTTAAATCCAAAACTTGTATTTCAGTCATTAAGTTCTACAGCCCCTCCAAAAGCTTTTCAACAGGTGTCCAGCTTCTGGTGCAAGACTTGATTTCCCTACAAGTGTGGACCTCTCAGGGCTACATCAAATTTAGTGGACTTGCTGTTTCACCCATTAGTTCTGCTTCTTTTTGGTACTATCAATGATATGTTTTATTCCTTTTATTAAAATTCCAATTCATTTTGTAATGAATATTATTTTATCAGAGGATCTACTTCTCAAAGAAAATCCAGCTTTCACTTATTCATGCTTTAGTATAGTGTATTTTGTCAAAAAAGCATGTCTATATTTAATTTGTCAAGAAATTGCATTAAAATATTGAAAGCAAGCAACATGTAGTGCTATGTGGTATCTGTGGTATACTTTACATTAACGCTTGAAACTAGCTGTATTTTTAGAATAGCCTCAAGAAAACATGAGTCATACTTAAAAGCATGCCAGAAATAGAAACAAGATTTAAGACTGTACATTGCAAAACAAAGTGCCAAACTGCCATGCTTACCCTAATATAAACACAGCACAGCACACAAGAGAAATCCCCAACTTCAGTGTGTTCAGGCACAAGATGCTACCTTCCAGGAGTCCACATAATAATAAACCAACGTCAGACTAATCCCCAAGAGCTTGATTCTATATTCTAAGATTCCTTTTCTATTTAAAAATATAACATATAATTCATATTTTGCTAAATCCCTGATTCAGTTCCTAATCAATATTTGTTTTCAAAAAAAATGTACTATATTTTGCCCAGCCATATTCAAAGGCTTTAAAGTAATTTTATCATAGTTACCTAAATTATAATTTTCTCCCCTCATGAACTCAAAATTTCATATATATAAAAGTTAAAATTCCAGAAAATTAAGCATAGGTCACATTCTATTATAATAAATCCCTCAAAACTGGTGATGTTTTCTTAGTATCCCAAAAGGCAACATAATATAATGGAGAAAAAAAAAATCCTTTGAAGCCAGACAGATCTACTGTGATTTTTCATCCTGTCTTTTAGCCATGTCCTTAGACATGCATTTTGACTCTTCCAGGTCTAAGTTGCCTTATTTTCAAAAGAGAGGTAATAATACTTATTGAGTATGGTTTGTGAGGATTATAGGTAAAGCACCATGCTCAGTCCCTCAGCCAATGAGAACCAGGTTCAGGAGAATTATTCAAGTCTCATCCTTACCTGCAAACTCTTATCTCTGTTGTGTACCCTGGACAGCGGGCTGTATAGTGTGGACTTGGTAGATATGAATAGGCTCCTGAGTTTACGCTCAAATTACCTGCTGGGCCTACAGTCAAATCTGAAGAAATAAGGGAGAAAGGAACCCAGTACTTACCACATCCTCACTAGGAAAGCCTGTGTTAGAGTACTTCCCCTTGACATTTCATTAACATTTCATTTCATCGCCCCACAAAATAGCTCAGAAAGAAGCTGAACCTAGGCCCGTAACACTCCCCTGAATTTGATTTTTCTACCACATCACAACATGAGATTTCAAAAGAAGCGTGACTAACCTCCTCACTGCAACAATGTGCTCATCTGCTAAACTTTCCCCTATTTATCATATAACATTCTATAGTTAGATACAATGAACATGAAGGATGAAAATATTTAGCACCAAAGTCCTCATTATTTACAACAAAGACAAAAACTCAACTAAAAAAAGTAATTTATTCACATAGCTGTATTTATTAAGAATCTACTATATGCTCAGCACCAAAAACACAAAGATGAATAAAATAAGATTCTTTGAAGATGTCATATATAAAACATCAGCTTATATAAAGCCAATCATTTATAAAGTAGGCTGATGTTTCTATTATCTAATATAGCTGTTATCAAAACTAAATACCTACAACATTGGCCAGCACAGTGCTCAGCACAAAGAAGACACTCAGTTTTTCTTAAAATTGGAAAAATTCATCAATATGTATTAAATAATTATACATATCCATATTCAATGAGGGTCATGTTATTCACTTTTTATGTAAGGGTACAAAAATAAGGGTATACATGTACATTTGCTTGTGTTTGTATAGAAAAATGCAGGACAGGTTTCCCTGAAACTAATACTGTGAGAATTAACATGAATGAGAATGGGGTGAATATATAATTTCTCAATATATACCATTTTATATTGTTTTGATTTCTGAATCACAAAAATATATTAATTCTGCAAAAAAGTTACTTTTTTAAAGTCATGATTTAGAAAATATTTTACATAAGAAAATGTCCACAATACATTGCTTTATGAAAATGGTTTGTATATACAAAAGTATGGCCTGTATACTTTAAAAATTTAAGAAAATATTCTGTATATACAAAATAGTATATATACAAAATGTTTTCTTAAATGATACACATATACAGTCATTTTTTTAAAACATTAGATACATTTTATGAGGATTCAAGCCATACAAAGTATGTTCTCTGACCAAAATTAAACTAAATTAGAGATTAGTAATGGAATAATCTTTGGAAAATCTCCAAATATTTAGAGACTAAATAGCATAATTCTACATAGTACATGGGATCATTGCTAAATGATATCAGTAAGATGGCTGACTAGAAGTTCCTAGCATCGTTCTCCCCCACAAAAAAAGCTAAATCAAGCAAATGAAAAAACTATATTTCAACCAAAATAACTAAAGGAGCACACTGGAGAACTGCAAAGGAGTAGGAAAAATCCTGTAGAGCACAGAAACCCAGGATGGTCACATAGAGAAGAGAAGGAAAGGAAGCTTTGCCTCTGCCAAGGATGATCTCAGTCCCTAGTTGGGTTCTGCTTGGACCCAAGAGGGATTTCTCTCAGCAGGAAAAAGGTAAGCAGAAGGACCCTAACAGTTCCCATTACTTCCATGGAGACCTGCAGTCTTTGCTACCAGAGATTCCTGCAGTCCTCACAGGCTCTGAGCCCAGCTGAGGGAGCTCCCCAGAATATACATGCTGTGGTACTCTCAGAGAAGAAACTGACACTAAGCTACTACTGTGTTGCAACCAGAGCCACTGCTACAGTGCATCCTATTCCAGAGATGGGTAGCCATTGCACCCCTTCATCCTGGAGGCTTTGCCATCACTGCAGCACAGCTATCTGGTAGCCCCCCCAAACCTAAATTTAGCTACTGCTATGCTCCAAGTTACCATGGAGCTGCTCCATGCCCTGCATCGCAGACATTGGTGCACCCTGCCCTTCAGGGACTGAGCTGAAGTGACACTCTTACCAGGGACCCACAGCATCAAACTACTCCCAGGCACCACACCAATGCAATATCCTATCCTCCTGAATGCCTCAACCCTCTGGCACACCAGAGAAGATGTATGATACTGTGCGACATAGCTGACACTGTACCCTTCCTCTCAGGGAACCAGAACTTCCTTCAATCCATGTAGCTGCATATTCTAGGACCAAGCTGATGCAGCATCTTACTTCTAGGAAATCAAAGCTTTGGATGAGCCGTGTCCCTGCCCTACTGGTCAAATGGCCACAGGGCCCATCCTCCTTGGAACAGGACTAGAAACCCAGAATCTGAGCTGCTGAGAACCCCCAACTCCCCAGGGAGTGGAGTGAAGCTGTACTTCTCCCTGTCCACTGGGCTGTATCAGTGCCTTGCCATGTATGGGTTCTTGACAGTGCTGCACCTGGCTGCACAGAACCTGGGCTATTGCTGAATGTCACCATCCCAGTGTCAAGAGTAATTAGTGTGTGACATCTCATCCCCCAGGACTCAAGTTGCCACTGTGTCGTCTTGATTCTAGGTCCCAAATTGCAGCTGTGCCCTATTCCCTGGGGCCTGAGCCTTTGGGGTTCCCCTTCTTCCCTGGAGCCATGCCAGTTTTGCACCCTGCCCTCCAGGGTCAGAGACAGAGCTATATCCCTGCCCCTTGGGTACAATCTGTTAGAAAGTGCTTCAGAGAAAGAGACCTCAGTTTTGCTGGAGAACTGCATCTATGTATGTCTTGAAGGGTGAACCAACACCTCAAGTCACAGTATTCCAGTAATTTCACAAGAACCTGGGCCTAGGAATTCAGGACCTGTGCCCCAGATCCCAGTGCTGCTGTGTCTGCCTGTGGACTGTGTCAGACAAGACATCAAGACAGAGACCCTCATCTAAGACCCTCTGTTGTGGGAAAGACAAGAACAGGAGGATCCCTGAAACTTTGGCCAATGAGGACCCTAATAACCTATGTTGCCACCATCACTGCCACAAAATCCTGTAGCCTAGACCACCAAGGCACCTGTGGTCATTGCTGAAATTGATCACAATTAAAGAAGCTGAAGCTTCACAGAGACTACACCACTGCTCCCACATACCCAACTAGTATCTTCAAGTCCATGTGCAGGTGAAAGTCTTCCCCTACAAAAGCCACTCTGTAAAGTTAGAAGAGGTGCCTGCTCTACCAAATGCATAGAAATCAACATCAGAACACAAACACACACACAAGATACCCCCCAACATGAAAAAATGAAAAAGCAAAGAAACATGACACCACCAAAGAAATACAATAATTCCCCAGTAACTGACCCCAAAGAAATGGATATTTACAAATGGCCTAAAAAGGAATTCAAAATAGCAATCTTAAGGAAATTCAGCAAGATATAAGAGAATACAGATAGACAATTCAATGAAATCAGGAAAACAATTCATAATCTGAGATATTCAACAAACAGACCGGTATCATAAAAAAGAACCAAATAGAAATCTTGGAACTGGAGAACGCAGTCAATGAAATAAAAAATACTAGACAGAACTTCAATAATAGACGAGATCAAGCAAAACCAAGAATATCTGAACTTGAAAATAGGTCTTCTGAAATTACCCAGTCAAAAGAAAAGAAACAAGAAGAGAAGGGAAAAAGGAGAAGGGAGGGAGGGAGGAAAGGAGGAAGGGAAAGAAAAAGAAAAGAGTGAAACAGCCCATGGGACTTATGGGACACTACTAAGTGAATACTCACTCACATTATGGGATATTCAGATGGAGAAGAGACAAAGATAAGGACAGAAAACTTATTTAATGAAATAATGCCTGAAATTTCCCAAGTATTGGAAGATATATGGGCATCAGATTCATGAAGCTTGAAAATCTCGAAACAGATTTAATGCAATGAGGTACTCTCCAACGTATATTATAATTAGTCTGTCAGTCAAAGACAGAGAGTTTTAAAAGCAACAAAAGTCACATATAAGCATCAAGTCACATATAAGGGAATCCCCATTAGACTATTAGATATCTCCATAGAAACCATGCAGGACAGGAGAGAACGGAATAATATAGTCAAAGTGCTGAAAGAAAAAAACTGCTAGTCAAAAATACTACACTCAGAAAAACTGACCTTCAGAAATTAAGGAGAAATAAAGTCTTTCCCAGACAAGCAAAGGCTGAGAGAATTTATCACCACTAGACCTGTACAGTCCTGAGTTCACCACCTATGAGTTCTACATGGCCTATGCAGACTATCACAATCTCACGGAAACCACAGAGAAGCTGGTTTCAGGGATGGTGAAGCATATTACAGGCAGTTACAAGGTCAACTACCACCCAGATGGTCCATAGGGCCAGGCCTATGATACTGACTTCACCCCACCCTTCCAGAGAATCAGCATGGTAGAAGAACTTGAGGAAGCACGGGGGGTAATGCTGCCAGAAACTAACCTCTTTGAAACTGATGAAACTCACAAAATTCTTAATAATATTTGTGTGGCTGAAGCTATTGCATACCCCCCACATTGGACCACAGCCAGGCTCTTTGACAAGCTTGTGGGGAAGTTTCTGGAGGGGACTGGCATCAATCCTACATTAATCTGTGATCATCCACAGATAATGAGTCCTATGGCTAAATGGCACTCCTCTAAAGAGAATCTGACAGAGCACTTGGAGCTGCTTGTCATGAAGAAAGAGATATGCAATGCCTACACTGAGCTGAATGATCCTCTGCCACAGCAGCAGCTTTTTGAAGGACAGGCCAAGGCCAAGGCCACAGGTGATGATGAGGCCATGTTCATAGATGAAAACTTCTGTACTACCCTGGAATATGTACAGGCATGGGCATTGACTGAGTTACCATTTTTCTCAACAGATTCCAACAACGTCAAGGAAGTACTACTATTTCCTTCTATTTTCTGCTATTAAACCCAAAGACAAGAAGGATAATGTGGCAACCACGATATACTATAAAGCACAACAGCTGGCACTTCTGTCTAGAAAGTGACAGTTGCAAGTTATATAAGTCAAGCATCTTTGCATTTCTGTAAAAGATCAAGGTCTGCCAGGTAATTATTGTGTGTTGCTTTCCATTTGACTACCACAGTTCAATTCAGCCATCAGAAGACAGAAAAGGAATTAAGGATTTCTTTTTATTCCTTGTTACCAAATAAACAATCAATTTGTCTCTTCTCTTCAAAAAAAAAAAAAAAAAAAAAAAAAAACTATGAGATGTTTTATGTAAGCCTCATGGTAAGCTTCAACAAAAGTATAGCAGATACAAAAACAATACAGAGAAAGAAATCATAGTGCTACAGAAAATGATCAAATCACAGAGGGTAACAATAGAGAAAGAAAGGAACAAAGGATCTACAAAATAGCCAGAAAACAAATAACACAATGGAAATAGTGAGTCCTTACCTATGAATAATTATCTTGAATGTGAATAAATTCTCTAAGAGGGGCTACATGGATTTAAAAAAAAAAGCGGGGGGTGGGGGGATTCAATTATATGCTGCCTACAAGAGACTCACTTTAGCTTTAAGGACAGACAGGCCAAATGTGAAGGGATGGAAGAAGATAAGATATGCTATGAAAATAGTAAACAAAAGAGAGCATGAATGGCTATACTAACAACTAATAAAATAGACTACAAGTCAAATTCTGTCACAAGAGACAAAGAAGGTCATTATTTAATATATATATACGCCCAACATTGTAGCACCTAAATACGTTAAAGCAAATATTAATGGACATGAAGAAAGAAATAGAGAGCAATACAATAATAGTAGAGGACTTCAATCTTCAATTTTCAAGGATATATCAACCAGACAGAAAATTGATAAGGAAATACTGAATTTAAATTGCACCTTAGACCAAATGAACCTAACAGACATATTTGAAATTTTACATCCAACATCAGCAGGATACACATATATCTCTAGCACACATAAAGCAGTCTCCAAAATTGTCTACATTAGGCCAGAAAACAAGTCTCAACAAATTTAGAAAACTGAAATCATAGCTAGTATCATTTCAGGCCTTAATGAAACTAGAAAACAGTAACAGGAAGAATCCTGGAAAATTTACACATATGTGGAAATTAAACAACATGTTCTTGAACAACCAATGGGCCAAGAAGAAATCAAAAGGGAAATTTTAAAATATCTTGAGACAAATGACAATGGAAACACAACATGCCAAAACCTGTGGGATACAGCAAAAGCAGTTCTAAGAGTGAAGTGTGTAGCGATAGATGCCTCCATTAAAAAAGATTCTGAATAGTTTAACATTCTGCCTTAATAACTAGAAAAAAAGAACAAACTAAACCCAAAGACAACAGAAGAAAGGAAAGAAAGAACATAACAGAAATAAATAGAGAACAGAAAAACCATAGAGAGAATCAACAAAACTAAGAGAAGTTTTTTTGAAAAAATAAAACTGATAAACCCTCAACTTGCCAAAAAAAAAAAAAGAGAAGACTCAAATAAATTAAAAAGTGAAAGTAAAGCGAGTATAACAGATGCCTCAGGAATAAACAGGATCATAAGGGACACAAATAAATACAAAAATATCCCATACCTATTAATATTGTGAAGATGTCTATACTATCCAAAGCAGTATACAGATTCCATGCAATACCTATGAAAATCCCAAAGGCATTCTTCACAGATAGAAAAAACAATCCTAAAATTTGTAAAAAATACCAAAGATATCAAATAGCCAAAACATTTCTGAGAAAGAAAAACAAAGTTGGAAATACCACACTTCCTGATTGAAAATTATACTACAATTTTTTTTTTAAGATATGGCACAATCATGTGTCACTGCAGTCTCAACTTCCCAGGCTTAAGCAATCCTCCCACCTCAGCCTCCCAAGTAGCTGGGGCTACAGTTGTGTGCCATCACATCCAGCTAATTAATTTTTTGTGTATAGACTGGGCCTCATTATGTTGCCATGGCTGATCTTGAACTCCTTGGCTTAAATAATCCTCCTGACCTCCCAAAGTACTGGGATTATAGGCATGAGCCACTGCACTCAGCCCTGTATTACAAATTATATGTGTTTCAAAATAACACACATACCCCAGAAATATGTGCAACTAGTTTTTTTAAAAAAAACCAGTTTTAAAAAAGGTATGATACTGGCAAAAAAAAAAAAAAAAAAAGACACAGAGACCAGTATAACAGAATAAAGAGCCTAGAAATAAATTCAAACATACACAGTCAACCAATTTTTGACAAGGGCATCAAGGACACAATGGGAAAAGATAGTCTCTTCAATAAATGATGGTGAAAAAACTGGATTTCCACATGCAAAAGAATCTCACACCATATACAAAAATCAACCCTAAATGTAAGACCTGAGAAATAAAATTCCCAGGAAAAAGCTCCTGGACATTGGCCTTGGCAATGATTTTTTTTTTCTTTTTCTTTTTTTTTTTTTTTAATATCTCAACCAAAAGCTTAAGCTACAAAAGCAAAAACAAATAAAGGAGACTACATTAAAAATATTTTGCACAGCATAGAAAACAATCAACAAAATGAAAAGGTAACTTATCGATTAGGAAAAAAACATTTGCAATTCATATATCTGGTGAGGGGCTAATATATAAAATTTATAAAGAATTCATATAACTCAATAATAGAAAAACAATCCAAATAAAAAATAGGCAAAGCATTTGAATTCTCCAAAGAAGATACAAAAATGGCCAACAGGTATATGAAAAGGTGCTCAACATCATTAAATCAGGGAGTCAAGGAAAGACAAATCAAAACCACAATGAGATACCACCTCACACTTGTTAGCATGGCTATTATCAAAAAGTCAAAAGACAAACGTTGGCTAGGGTGTGGAGAAAAGAGTGCACACTGTGGTAGAAATGTAAATTGGTATAGCCATAATGGAAAACAGTGTGGTGGTTTCTAAATAAATTAAAACTAGAACTACTATACAACTCAGAAATTCTGTTATACCCAAAGGAAATAAAATCACCACCTCATAAAGATATCTGTACTCCATGTTCATTGAAGCATTATTCACTATAGCCAAAATACGGAAACTGAAATGTTGATGGATAAATAAATAAAGAAACCGTGGTATAGGTTGAGCAGCCTAATCCAAAAATCAGCAATTTGAAATACTCTAAAATCTGAAATTTTCTGAGTGTCAACATGATACCCCAAGTGAAAAATTCCACACATTTGACTGCATGTGATAGGTCACAGTCAAAAAGCAGGCATTCAACACACAATTTACTCAGCATCCAGATACGTGTATAAGGTATACATTAAACACAAATGGACTACATGTTTAAAGTTGGGTCCCATTCTCACACTGTCTCATTATGTATGAGCAAATATTCAAAAATGTTTAAAAATCTGAGGGCCGGGCGTGGTGGCTCAAGCCTGTAATCCCAGCACTTTGGGAGGCCGAGGCAGGTGGATCACGAGGTCAAGAGATCGAGACCATCCTGGTCAATATGGTGAAACCCCGTCTCTACTAAAAATACAAAAAAAAATTAGCTGGGCATGGTGGTGCGTGCCTGTAATCCCAGCTACTCAGGAGGCTGAGGCAGGAGAATTGCCTGAACCCAGGAGGCGGAGGTTGCGGTGAGCCGAGATCGCACCATTGCGCTCCAGCCTGGGTAACAAGAGCGAAACTCCGTCTCGGAAAAAAAATAAAAAATAAAAAAAAATAAAATAAAAATCGGAAATCCAAAATAACCCTGGTCCCAAGCATTTCAGATAAGGGATAGTCAACCTGTATATCTATACCATAGAATATTTATTATTCGGCCTTTAAAAAGAAGAAATCGTACCACTTGCCACAACATGGATGAAGTTGGAGGACATTATGCTAAGAAAAATAAACCAGACCCAAGGGTTTAAAAAAAAAAAAAATCCTACATGAGCTCACTTACATGTGGAATCTGGTTGGAGTGGCAGGGTTTTGGGGGAGTCAAAAACACAAAGATAGAGAATAAAACATTGGTTACTGGGGTAGGGGTAGATAGAAAATGGGGAAATATACGTCAGATTATTTAAGTAGCAGATATGTAAGATGACCAACTCTAGAGAGCTAATGTACAACATGAGGACAAGTAATAAAATTATACTGAAATTCCTGCTAAATGAGTAGCTTTTAGCTGCTTTTGCCATACCAAAAAAAAAAAAAAAAAGGGTAACTGTGAGATGATGGATATGTTAATTTGCTTCACTATAGTAACCATTTTACTATCTATATATATATCCCATAACATCATGTTAGATGTTAAATATACAAAATTTTTTAAAAGACTAACACATGGCCAAAGAAGAAATTAAAAGGGAAATTACAAAGTTTTTTGAACTGAATGAAAGTAAAAACAATGTATCAAAAATTTTAGCATTCCACTAAAGCTGTACTTAGGAAAAATTTTACAGTACTAATTGCCTACCCTGAGAAAACTGAAGTGTTTCCAATTAATGGCTTCAGCTTCTGACTTAAGAGATTAGAAAAAGAAGAGAGAATGAGACCCAAAGAAAGAAAATAATATTCATCATAGCTTAAAAATCAATGCAATAGAAAACAAAAACACAAAAATGAATGAAACCAAAAACTCGTTCTTTGAGATTAACAATAAAATTGACAAACCTCTGGTCAGACTATTAAGAGAGAGAAGACATAATCTGCCAACATCATGAATATGAGAGAGACAGACAGAAAGCACAGATACTTCAGATATTAAAAGGATAATAAATAGATATTGTTAAAAAAAAAAAAACACTTTAAGCCAATGTATTCCACAACTTAGAAGAAATGGACAAAGTCTTTAAAAGAGTCAGCTCCTTTTTTAGTTGACACAATTAGGGATAACCTGAATAACTGTATCTATGAAAAAAAATGACTTTGCAGTTAATAACCTCCCACAAAGAAAACTCTGGGCCAAGATGGCTTCACTGATGAATTCTACCAAACATTTAAGAAAAAATATCCATTTTATACAAATTCATTCAGAAAACTGAAGAGGAGGAATTCTTACCAATTCATTCTATGAGGTCAGTATTACCCTTATATCAAAATCTGACAAACACATGACAAGTAAGGAGAGCTGCAGATCGATATCCCTCATATAGATGTACAAACCCTAAACAAAATGTTCACACACTGAGTCCAATAACATAAAAAAAGACTAGCACACTGTTACTAAGTGGGACTTTTCTCAGGAATAAGATGAAAAGTTAGTTTAACAT